CCTTGGCTGCGTGGGGGCGAAACGCGGGGAGAGGGGCCCGGGCTCCGCGTGTAAGTCAAGTCGGAAAGTTTGCGGGATGTTGTTCTGCCTCTATGAGCAGTTACCTGGCTTCTGAAATCCCCGGGCCGCCCTCGTCGTAAACCAGTAAATACATAAGCGCTCGCTTCGCGTAGCTCTGCCGAAACAGTTCTTACAAGTCAGTTGATTCCTGGGAGGCGAGTTGTGGTGTTCAGCTGAGTTTTGCGCGCTTTGAGTGCGCTCGAGTTTTGCCGTTTGCTCAGCATAATCCTTTTTCTGTTCGCAGTAAACGTATTTATTTTTCCTCTGATTATTATTTCTACTTCTGCTTGAAGTTTGGAGCAGGAGTTGGGGAAAACGTTAGGGTTTTTTGACTTTCGTCATGAATTAATTTGGAACTTCTTGAGCAGAAAAAGGGAAAGCTGAGATGGAAATTATCTTGCTGGGAGAGGAGAGAGGAATTTTTCACATCTTCACTTTGTATGATTGCATCTTTTGACGTTCCCTATCTTTTTTTTTTTTTGGTTTTAGTAGATGGTACAGGTCAAAACACCTCCAAGTATCTTTTAAAAAAATAGTTGTTTTCTTCTGTTTTCAGTCTTTTGATCTGATTTTGCACATCATTTTCAAATGAAAGACAGTGGGAGTGAGAGAAAGGAATGTTAACTGAGCAGCTTTCCTGCCTGTTGCTAAAGGATGTACTTGAAGTAAGTTGGGTTTTGCCTGAAAGGTTGGCATGGAAGTGAAGCTTTTGTTTAGTTTGTGTAGCTATCGTAAGTTAAATAAGTAAATGACGAAGTTTATTATTTTTAAAAAATACCGACCGGTTTCCTAGGAAAAGCAGTGTGCTTTACTATGAAATCTGTAGAAGCCTCCCTCTGCCCTTCTCTAGTAATGGTTTTAGGTTATGGCTGGTTTACATGGCTAGACGATAAGTTTTGAGTAACTTGCATAGAGGGTGTGTTTTATAATGGTGTTTCAGGGCTCAGAACGCTGTAATAATATTAGCATAGAGCTACCCTCCGCCTTTCCAGGGTCCCCAGCCCTGGCAGTACCTTCACACTTGAGCAAGACAGGGTGGGTGAGCTGCGGTGAGGACGAGTTTGCATTATAAGCCTTGAAATTGCAAAACAAAACCTCGAAATTCCAAGCGCTCCTTTCTTCTCCTTTCATACTGTGAATTCAGGTTTGCTAATTCATCTGCAGCTTGCGTAGGGCTCAGGCAAATGTAGCATCGCTAGTCCTTAAGACACTTGCAGTAAGGTACTGCTGGACAGTATTTTGAGTGACTGAACAGAGTGGCCCCGTGAAAATTTCCTGCATCTAATTTGAATTCTGGTTTGTTAAAACTTTTTGCTGTGGTTTCATGTCTAAAGATCGATAGGACAAAAGTGCCTCAAACTGCAATGGCGTGTATTTTTTTTTTTTTACACTGCTCTCTCTCTTTTTTTTTTTTTTTTTTTTTTTTAAGTTCAAAGCTCACGCAGTTCACTCCTACCAGGAAGACTTTCCACTTAAAAAGTATTTTTGGTGCAGTCAACGGATAAGTAAGTTTACCCTTGTAAAATCCCATACATGTGCACATTTGATAAAAGTTCCTATTGGATTAACCAGAACAACTCTCAGATTAATAGCAGAAATTCCTTGCAGTGTAAATTATATTCAACAAGTAACTAATTATTGGTAGGAAGTGGGCAGGAGATTGTGGGATTATTTCCTTTTGTTAGTAACTCCAGCCACTTTCATGACATTTTAGAACTATTTTTTTTAGTTGGTTGGAATTGGATTCCCAAATTTAAAAGAATATTCTTGGAGTGTAGTTTTCCAAGGCAAAAGTAAGCCAGCCAGACTTTGAGGAAGAGAAAATATTTGCTGCCTTGCTTGTCGGAACCA